ATTAAAAGACAATTAGCAAAGTTATTTGACAACAATATGTTCTGTAGACAAACAAAAAATAACATTTCTTAAGGAGGCTAATAAAATTTACCTTATACCTAAACATTTTTATTCAAGGCAAACTAAAAGAATAAGTGTTAGAAAAAAAATAATTAAGATTTATTAATATTATATTTAAATAATTTATAATATTATATATATATATATATATATATATATATATATATATATATCTGTAAACTTGTTATTGGTTTGTTAAGATTATACCTTAACCTTACAGCCAGTACTTCCATTATGCATGTTATGGTGTATGTAGTTGAAGTCAGAATTATTAGCCCCTTTGAATTAATCACCCCTGTTTATTTTTTTTCACAATTTCTGTTTAACAGAGAGATTTTTTTAACACATTTTTTAAACATTTCTAAACTTAATAGTTTTAATAACTCATTTCTAATAACTTATTTATTTTATCTTTGCCATGATGACAGTAAATAATATTTTACTAGATATTTTTAAGACACTTCTATACAGCTTAAAGTGACATTTAAAGGCTTAACTAGTGATTATGTTAACTAGGCAAGTTAAAGTAATTAGGCAAGATTTGTATAACGATCGTTTGTTCTGTAGACTATCGAAAAATATATAGCTTAAATTGACTAATAATTTTGGTCTTAAAATGATTTTTATAAAATTAAAAACTGCTTTTATTCTAGCCAAAATAAAACAAATAAGAATTATCCAGAAGAAAAAAATATTATCAGACATACTATGAAAATCTCCTTGCTCTGTCAAACATAATTTGGGAAATATTCAAAAAATAAAAAAAATAAATAAAGGGGGGCTAATAATTTTGACTTCAACTGTACATACGTCCTCCGGTTTCTCTCACAGTCCAAAGACATGCGGTACAGGAAAATTGAATAAACCTAATTGTTCGTAGTGTATCAGTGTGTGTTAACAAGTGTTCATGGGTGTTTCCCAGTACTGGGTTGCAGCTGGAAGGGCATCAGCTGTGTAAAAAACATATGCTGGAATATCTGTCGGTTCATACTGCTGTGGCAACCTCCTTTGACCACGTTCAAAGGTTTGGGATAAAGACAATTAATCAATAATATTTAATTATGATTGTGAAGAGAATTCGAAAATTGAATGATTTCTGACAGATCATCTGACACTGATGACTGGCATAATGATGCTGAAAATTCAGCTTTAGATCACAGGAATAAATATATATAAAAAATACTTTATAACAAGTAAATACATGTACACAAGAAAACAATATTAAGGTTTTATTTTGATCATATAAATGCTGCTGGGTGAGCAAAACAGAATTCTTTTAAAAACATAAAGAAAATAAATCATACCCAACACAATCTATTGTACAGTAGTTTTTGAAATTATTATTAGTTTGCAAATATATTTTACAATGTTGTGGTTGCAGACATGTATGTGTTCATTGGTAATGTATGCCTTTAGCTGTATCTATGTGTACCATATTGAAGGGAAAATTTGCATCTAAGAGAGAGAAAAATCTAATAAAACATTTTTTACATGTACTCATTTATAAAAACAGTATTAAGATGTTACATTTTAGGGCTAAAGGCCATAGTGTTCATTGCTATAAAAGGTAATCTGTGTATTGCTCCTATTAGATTGCCAAGTAAAAAAGATCATTTTTTTTCTATAACATAGTGAACTGCAGCTTATGCAGAAGAATACAGTATATTAGAAATGAATTTGGTGTTTTATGGTTGCTTAACATGCTTTACCTTTAATCTGCTCCGAATTAAGAAAAAAAGTGTAAAAATGGTATTAATAGTTGCATATAGATAATTTAACTTCCATCGAACCTTCCAACTGCACAAATGGATTTTTTTAAACTTTAAAATTTCAAATATTGTACTGTACAACTACACTAACAGACTATGTTTTCAAAAAAGGAACCAAATATGTTTTATTTATGGTACTGCTAAAAATTTATTTTAAAGCCTTTATTGACTATGTATTGTAACCAAATGTAATAGTTTTACATTTATTTACACTATATATCATTAGAATATTTATTAAACATTTATAGAGTGTAATAACACTCTATAATTTGATTTCAGTTTTCTATTTAAGGTGCTTAAAAAGAAACATTAATATACACTCACTCACTACGTTCCCTTCAGCTTGCTCTCTTCTTCATCATCAGAAGTCACCACAGCAAAATGGTCCACCCATTACTATACAGAGTAGATTAAATAAATTTACCATGGGGTTCAGAAAAGTTCCTCACCTAGAACCTAACCCAACAAACACACATATGATCATGAATAAATTGTGTATCATTATGTGCACATTGGCCACATTTTAAGCCTCTGCAAATTACCACTTATACATTGTTTCTTTGTTTGGAAACTGATGCAGATTTACACACAGGATTACAATGATTATAATGGCAGCTGTGTGGTGCATCCTTTTTATATGTTTTTGAGCTGTGCGTGCAATGACTAGTGATTAATGTAAGGAAGTATTTCTATAAACGATGTAGCAGACTTTCTAAATATTTTTGGCTAACTCAAGCACCTACAGTCAGGGAACTACCCAAAAATGCGCATTTTAATTACCCTTGGTGGTGCTGAAAGACAATATTAGGCTACAATGCTTACAATATTACATTAAAATGATATCAGATGTCTTAGAATTACTGTATTCAGCATTACACCAAATCTGTAGAGGATTTTAATCAAAGCAACTCACATCTCATTTCATTGCAGACATTTTATGACACAGACATATTTCCCTGTGAATTAAACACATACTTTTACTGTAATTTACTTTAGTATAGCTGCCAGACCTTATTGGCCCATGAACATTTTCTGTTTGTTATCAAACTATGTAACAAGAGGCAATTCAATCATAACTTAATGTTAAAAGAGCTATTATTATTTATCAATATGTGGCTCTTTTTGAATTCTCAGAAGCTATGGAAATTCAAAATGTAAAACAGGAAATTTGTTAGGACCATTGCTTTGTTTACATTCCTCAAAATGGTCTGTAGTATAAGACTATGGTAATTTCCCCCTCTTTGAGGGTGGAGCTATTTACACTCATTTATAGTCTCAGCCATGGTAAAGCTGATGCATATATTACTTAAAAAATTGCTTGAACAAGTTTTGTTTGACCTATTATGTCTTTCCTCTGATGTACATCTCTCATTATGATGTAAAATTCACCCCACCTTAAAATTCACCGGCTTAATTCTTAAAGCGTGAAACTTGATCCGATTTTAATTTAAACTAACTTATCTTTGATGACAAGAAGCTTCTGTGTATAAAGATGACACATATCCAGATTCGCGTTAATGCAAAAGTTAATCAAAGTTATAAAAAAGGATAAATTACTGTCGCAATAATCAAGCTGCTTAAATTATTAAATATAATGCAATAGGCTGATTGCCAGGCTATCAACGGATTAACTTTTGCAGAGATGTCAATAAGGACTTATATCGTAATAAGTAATACTAAAATAAAATGTCTCAAATGTGCTGTTGCCATATCAAACTTACAGACTAAGAGACCTCTGATCTTGATGAACTATGATGACAGAACATGTCTGTTGATAGTTTAATTGCTATCTTTCCTGTCGCCATTCTATTCCCTTTTATAAACTAACAGAGCAAATTAGATCCACCTTCGAGGAAGAATAAAGAGGAAGGTGGTGAAGGTGATGAAGCATATACCACTCATTAACATATGTGCAAAACACCCGATTGCATGTGTAAAATATTAAAATGTAGCTTTACACAAACATATTTGTATAACCCACAAAGTAAAATACAATAGAACAATAAATAAAATGTGAGGGGGAAAATAAATTAAGCAAAGATTTGTTAATTCTCCTGTTGTCTCTCCTCCTCGCCCTTACGTTTTTCCGACCCGCCCATGTTCTTATGCCATAGCAAAGATAGTTGAAGCTAAAACAATATTTGGAATATATTTTTCAACACAAAATTATCCACACACACACACACACACACACACACACACACACACACACACACACACACACACACCATCCACTCACAATACCTCACAACAACCAAAAAACAAAAACAAAAAAAAACATATAAGCTAACGAGGAACAAAGCACCAATACATTTAGACTGCTGTGAGCACTATTACAAATATATATAACTTTATCAAATTAATTAATTCCCTCATGGGCCTCATTATATGGTTTATTATAATGTTAATAGCTTTCTTGTAACAATAACATGACATTGAAAATAACAAGCCAAAATAAATAAAATAGTAATAAAAGAAATAAGTCTCGCTTGGCAAACCCTGACCGCGCTATTTCATCAGCTTTGGATATGACAGCTTCTCTCTTGGGTTTATATGAGCATTCGACGGGCTGCATAAAGCTGAAAACCGGGGATGTTCAGGCGATAAACAACGCATGACGTAATGTTCAGTTTCCTAAAAATGGTTTATCAGTATTCCAAACGGGAACCTGAACTATAGCCTAAGCTTTTTAAAGTGGTATGTGCGTCTTTATTTCGCCTATATAAAAAAAAGCACCACAGTCATGAGTTTAAAATAAAAATCAGGTAAACAAGCCACAAGCTGCTTGGTTTTATTTTGTGAACTTGAAGGCTGAGGACGCGAATAAAGGAAAATGTGCGATAAACGATCTTGACACACAGAGGGCGCTCTCTTCATTACATCACGGCTGTGATGCGGGCAAATGTGCAACATAATTAATTTATGTACAATATTTGATCACAGCATATTTTTAAATCATCTTGTATACAGTCACGCTAAATGTATATTGTTAAGCTGATCGACAAGAGGGTCGAATAATGATGAAATTGTTTCTACGTCAGTTGAAAATATAGGCAATGTAAGCGATGCAAAATCTAATTATTTCTTTGCAAAACCTAATTAGGCATTAAAAAAGGTTAACGCCAGCGCCTGAAACCGTTTTTGTTTAATAATCCCATTACTGACGGCTCATCATGTATAAAATGGCGCAGAAGGACACAAACTTTCCACTTGTTAAAGTGAATCTCCCAGAAAAAGACAAGACAAACTCTACATTAGAACACTGTTAGGATATGACAGGGTACCAAACGGAAAGGCGCATCACCGCACTGTAAGTAGCTAGAGCATTTTAACATTTTAAACGTATGCCTTTTTAAATTCTCACATTGTAAAATCCTATTTTTATTTGAACTGAAATCTGTTTAATATTTTGTCTGAAGCTGCATGTTATTCGGTTTATGAGAGCGCTAAAATGCTGTGCAGTGTTTTTTTCCTCTGAGATCACTGCGCTGCTCAAACCATCAGCCTACGTGGCAGAGCAGCTGCAAATAGTTGTTATTCTCAGAGGAATCGCGGTGTTTAACGACAGCTCATATTGATAAAGAACAAATTTGTATAGATATCTTGCATTGTGCGGAACAAAATGAAATAACAGAAGGAAAACAATTACAATTTAGAATCTGACTGTAGCGAAATGCTTTACGTTTGCCTTTGAATGGGTTGCGCAAAACGAAAAGGCTATTGGTTTATTCTGCATTGCAGGGTTTAAAATATTATTTTAACTAAGCTATTTATTTAATAAAAACTAAAAACGATATGTTATTTGGTTTTAGATTATCTAGCAAATTTATTCCAGTGATCAATTTTGAGGACATGAAATTGGAAAATACATACCATTTAATTTCATGTCCAAGCAGTTGTGAGTCTCTAGAAGAATCGGCAAAGTAAAGCATTTTCGTAAAACCGAAGCAATTACCAGGGAAACCCTTTCACTTTTGCACCCTTAACCTTTCCCTATTTCGAAACGGATCCATCACATCGGACGATAGGCTTTCCGTCCAATCTGCATAGAAGCCAAAGCTCAACAAAAGAGACGGAGTGACAGCTCAGAGTCAAAGACTGTGTAAAGCCAGAGAAATCAAAGACTGTCGTCAAAAGGAATGTGCTTGTTATCGGAAAAGAAGACTGTATTCTCTCCGCAGCTGTGTATCGAACCCAGAATAAAGAAATTAAACAAACAGGATCAGAAATTGAGCGAAACAAACGTAATTCTAGACAAGCAAGGAGAAGGCACAATAGAAAAAAAAGTGATGCAGAAAATCGACTTTTAAATGATATCTCTCCAATTATTGATCAAAGAAAACATCCCATAATTATAAATGTGTCGGCTTGAAATACTGCAGAGTTTATGCCCATGCAACATTGGACTTATTATTATAATTTTTTTACAAATTAAATTTAATACGAAATTAATAAAATAAAGCATAAAAATCATTGGATTTTTTGAAAGTTAAGGTAATTCAGTCTTTTTTCAAACTGTTTAGGATATTTACCACTTTGCCACGGCTCTTGGTATTTATTATTATTATTATTATTATATACTTTTTTGCCATTGAATGAAGGAAAACCTTAACCCAACTTTACTGTTTTATAACGAAATAAAAGTAAATGCACTCAGTGAAACAGTACTTTGTGTTAGTTTTGTACTTAGTCGACCTGGTTCCGCTGAATTGATGGGATCGTGACGGTCACCGCAAATTGCCGAGGCGTTTCACAGATTTCAGGATGACATGAGCTATTGTCACTGCAGTGTCCTATAAGTTGCACTCAAACAGATGGGAAACAAAAGGATGAATAATAACATTTTAAAATGTAATATGTATATTCAAGGTTGTATATTTTTTATACGTTTCCGGAAGAAATTATGTCGGATGAATTTATTTATTTGCCTAAAATCACATATCTCAATTACGCGGTTTGTTTTCTGTGTCCTTCTTGTTTTTATTATGTGTTATGTGTTATTACACAATTATTACAATCCTTAATCAGTTAATATTATTTTTATTGTAATTATTATTTAACATTTCACTGATGACTTTAAAATACATTAACTAAAAAAAATTAAATCCCTGATTCCGGATGAATTAATGTTATTTTTGTAATGTAATATCAGACAGGACTACACAATAATCATAAAACACACTACTCAATAGTAAAAAAAGAAGAAAACAAACAAACCAACAAACAGTGATAAATAATTACCTACACAAAATGTCATGCTATATCACAAATTATGAAGTTATCGGGAAATTAATAAAAACAAATACATATTACAGACTAAGGCAATAGGCTAGTATATAAGATCATTATTAAAGGTAGCCTATGGAATGTCGGGAATTAAATAAGGGAAACCATTCAACTGAAAAAAAAAAAAACAATAAACGGCAACAAACAAAATAAGCAAGGCCCTCACTGACTAATAAAAAATAACTCAAGACGAAGATAAAAAAAACGCTAAGATATAAACAAGTATTGTAGCCTAACTATTCAATAGTTTTAAACGCGTAAATATTCACTGGGCGTGCTTGATGAACCGTTTAACGTAAAGCGTTAATGTTTTGGATGATATTTGACCATGTGTGTTTTATGAGACATTTTCCCAAGCTAAATGGAGACATCAAATTAAAAATGAGTTATTGACAGGTTGAGGCAAATAAGCCAAGGCCGAGGTCTGCACACAAAGAAGCACTTTTATAACTGCCCCGTGGAGAATTTAATGTCAAGAGGACCATAACAGTATCGTTATTAACTATCAGCTACAATCTCAGAATGACTTAATCAAACACAAGGAGCTCGAGTGGGAGTACGGATGTAATAATGGCTTTAAAATATGACGAAATTATTTCCCGTCATTGCAGAAAACAAATTGAACATTTATTGCATATATATTAAAAATTATACGCTGGTGCGTGGAGCTCGTGTCTGTTTTATTGAGGCGCTCCTAAAGGTGAATCCTCTGAGGAAACATTTTTTTCAGTCTTGTTAGTCCCTCTGGAGGATGTTGCGAAATTGCCTTGAATCTTCCAAATTGATTCAGAAAAATAATTCATAACCGATGTATAAAGAACAAAACTTTACCCTCTTTAATGAGCTGACAAATGCTTTTTGTGAGAGTCTTAAAAGTGGGGTTCAATGTTTTTTTTCCATGTACGTAAAATAATAAAGCAGGACATAACCGGCAGCCACGTTTACTCGGCATGCGTTTCAGTGCAAAATTTAAAAATAAAAGAAACCCCACATACTTATGATTTGTTTCCTAAACATAACGATTATGAAGCTACAATGCTTGTATTGTGCATTAGCTCTGAAAATAGCGCAGACTCCCGTCGGCATGGCGAAGAGGCCTGCTCTTTGTCTCTGATGGTAGATGAATGGCTGGTGTCACCCACATGATTGGTTTGCACTATTAAATTGTCAAAAAGAAAGGATTTCCCTAATAATGGTTTTTATGAAGAGTTATGGAATGTGGCGTTTCTGGGGATGGACGCGAGGACTAACAAGGGTTAGGAGAGGAGGGGCAATGCCCAAGGTCACGCAGAGTTTTCATCAATGATTACGCTTTAACCTCTCTGTGTGGTCAGTGACATTGCACTTAGTTTATCCTTGCAGGACAGCTGCATGTCCTACCCAACCTGTTTAGAGTCATGACCCAAAGCATCCAGGTATAGGAAAATTATTCTGAAAAGACAATATAAAGTAGTAGAATTTCGCGCTAGCGTTTGAGATTATAAATTAACATTAGACTACTTATTGCCCATATTTAAGCATTGTTTGGTTACCACCTGTTCGTGTATCTCGTTATTATAAAGTTCTTCAAAATAAGAAAAATGAAACCGTTCTTTTAAGAACCGACCAGTGAAAAGTTATTTTAGGGACACAAAATTTAGGGCAAACTTCACAGTGAAAACTATTTTGCAACCTTATTTTAATCACGTCGGTAGCTGTGTCTAATACGCATGTAATGCACACGCAGCTTATTGCATATAATCTCAAATCCAAAACGTCGGTAAACTTTTTTTTTCCAGCAGAGTCATATTCTAGTTTTTGTGCTAAATGTTAACAGCTTCCATTCTTTCTCTAAGAACAAATCGGTGTTGACTTGAACACTCAGCCCCTTTGTATGCATTGTGTTGCTGACCTCGCTTGAAGATTTATGTATTTTTGATATTAAATTCCGTCTGTCATTAACACTGCTCTCTTGTTGACTTTTCTTGACCCATCGACCCGTTCCCCAAACTTTCCCATATTTAACGCGGGACCCCTCCTTTTCTTCTTTGGGGTCGTTCGCCTCCTTTAGCTTCTATGTTGAACGAGTTGCCCGTCTTTGGCATGTGCTGTTTACTCTGTTCTTGAACTTCAGTGCATTACACAGGCCCTGTCCCCCTCCTGTACTTTGAACTCTAGATCTTCCCCTGAGTAATGCCTTGTCCTACAAGTCTCCCCCTGGCTGCCCAGCTTGCTAATTAGTTAAACAAACGCATCCCCTAATGATTCCCTGGGCTGGCAGGGTTGGAGTCGTTTTGTTCACCTCAGCTTCGGCTGGCGAGGGTCTTTGCTTGTCCTGTTAGAGGTTTGGCCTCTCTGACCCAAACTAACGGCGGGTTGCTAAAGCTGCTGGACGGCCCTGTCCGAAGGTCCATCCCCCACCAGGCCAAAGGGCACAGAGCAGAGACAGAGTCGGAATGCCCACCAGCTGTTTACGGTGACAACCTCTATACAAAGCGCCCAGCGGTGGAGAAGCGGATCGTTGTCATCCGACTACGCTATAGCCTATGATTTTACATGATCTGCTTGGTGTATTTCGTAAAACGTGTTGTTGGTAGTATGGCATGGCATCCTGTAGTAATAATAGACATAATTCGTTGTCGCTTCAGTGCTTGGCAAAAATATGGGGAGCATTCGGTTTTCTTAGCAGTGACCGCGCTGCGTCTGCGCGCTCTGAGGAGGTCTGGACAGAAATGGATACTAATTGCGGGGACTGTAACACTGCTGGTCGCCGCAAAGCCTCGGGCGATCCCCAGACCTGCTCGTCAGCAGTTAATTGACAAGGGCTTGTCTGTTTTTGAGAGCAGCTGGTCCTAAGCACTGGCACACAAACGCAATCTTGACACGGCCTCTATTCGCCTCGAGCAGTATGAGGAAAAACGCAGTTAAATAGAAGGAGATTTATTAAAACTCCCATTGGGTGTCGCGAAGTAAGATATTTCCGATTTTGCCCTTGCCCTACTACCCTTACTAATAATTGAGCGCAGTAGCTAATTTAAGGGCAATTTCTGTTGCAGTGCATGAAGGACAAACAAGAATGAAATTGTAAAAATAAAGATTTAGTTCAAATGGACAAAATGCCGCGATTACCTATTTTACAGTATTCAGCCGCCACATAAAGCAACTAATGTCCAATAAAATACAACCTAATTATATTACCTTAATATTATGTATTGGGGCGCCATAAGCCCATAGTGACTTGAATTTTAAACGCAGCTAGACTTTAAAATAAACACTTGATCGACCACTTTAATAAAAAGGCCTTTCTTGATATTTGAGCCATATAGGCAACTGCAGGGCCATGTTTTGAAGGAGTCAAGAGACACTGAGGTGGTATTGTTTGGTTATAAAATAGAGTGAGTTTCTCCAACTTTCCCACTGCCGGCCCGGATGAATGTAAAGAAATCCTTTTCTGTCCGCTTTTACACTGAAATCGCGATTTTTTCGTGTATTCTCACGAAGCTCCCCCCTTATGTCACAGTAACAATGCCTGGAGTGAAGCACCCCGTAGGAGCTCCACAGTTGGGGATCTCTTGGATTGTTTTAGACATCTTTAGATTTCATCAATCAAAATGACTGCAGTTTTCCATAAAAATGCTGAATTTAGGACAAGGTCTGAGAGAGCTAGGTAGAAAATGCGACGCTGTCTTGGTCGATGATAAATGGCCATCCTTTGACTGGGTAAACAGAGAAATACGTGCCTGATCCACTTGTCTTGCAGGTTTTATTTTTTTATGATTAAAACGAGTTGACAGTGACATAGGAGCTCATTTGGATTGCATTATTGTTTTTAGAACTTCACAATTATATCGTTTTGGTCAAAGCATTACGTCTTATATTTGTTGTAGCTACTGTAGCTATTTCAAAAGAAAACAATAGGCTAGATCAACTTCCTAAAACCGCACGCATTACACAACATACACACTGAAACCGCTGGAGGGGAAATGCACGAACAAAGCTTCATACAAATATGAGTAGCCATACAAACCTATTATTTTTAAGTACTTCTTGCGATAAAACTGATAACATGAGCATACATTTGAGCATATGCATAAATGCCTGCAGGTCTTCGTGAAGCAACATTTTGATTTTGCTTGATATAAGGATTGAAAAGTCACATCAATTAACAGCTGATACAGACAGACAGATATAAAAGGAAAGACAGAAAAATGACAATGAAAGGTAAAAAGCGCTTTTATTGCGTTTATTGTTGGACTGCGACATTTGCATGTAATGAATGGGGTAATCTAGTCCTTATTACTTTATTGATCATTAATGTTGAGAAATAAACCTTTAAGTAAAATCATTTGTTCTGTAAGAAATGCATCTAAGGTCTGAATTGACCTTGTCGACTTGAAGAATTGTTTAATTTTGGTTCTTGGTTGGAGTACGGTGGGCATTGGATGCTAATAGAGATCTAATTGATGGGTGAAGTGGCGTTTCTGCTCTTATTGCGCCCTGGCGTCTGCTGTAAAATAGAGCCATAATCCGATTGAGGTATTCCTCCAGGAGACGAGTGTGAGCCTACGGCCAGGGGGAAAATCGTTATTAAAAAAGTTAGGCTCAGTAAGAGAAGTTCGACATACTGTTGAGGCCTGATGAAAAAGAAGAGAAAAGTGATATCATCGACAGAGCTGACGAAATATCATTTTCCATCTGTAACCACTCTTACCATTGCTGCCAAGGAGGTGTATACACTTTATAATGTCTTTGTAATATTAACTGAGAAACAAAGAAAATGGTACAGTGAAGTATTTAAAAAGCATTTTGTCATATACACCGCACAATACATGCAATAAATTTTAAATAGTGTAAACAAATGTATACATTTTTATTTTATAATTTCATATACATACAAAAATATAAAATATTAAATCATTTGCAAAATAAATTTATATTAAAATGTGTAGATGCAGTGTAACCGGCCTTCAAAAAAACGGGAAATCGTGAGGTTTAAATATTTATTATATATATATTTTTTTTATCTTATAGTAATACGTTTTAAATTGGAATGGTTAATCAATATGCATTTTTACAGTGTCGTGTGTCCCCTGATAACGTTATGTCTTATTAACCAAAGGTCTAATATGCTAATTATAATGAACTCTCGCCGTGTGGTCCTCCATTATAACTGTATGTTTTACACAGCCTATCTTATCTGAATAGCATAAATTTGTTCATTTAATAACGTTAGGTAACATTTTATTTTACGACGTCCTTGTCACAGTAAAACTACTTAAGTAATGCGTAAAATTAATTAACTTCACGTTTACAATTAGAGGTTATGTTTAGAGTTTTTTGAGACATGGAACGTGCAACAAGAAAACTCAAATAAAAAAGTATACACCTATTTAACATTTATTATGACACCGATATAAATTAAAACGTAGATTTATTATTAGGTCTTTATCGAAAAGTTTTAACAACCACATATCCGCAAGGTTTTAACCGCATTTTAACAGCAACAGTTTAGTCGTGTTTTGTAGTTATATAGTGTAAAATCATTCACGATATAAAAAAAGACAACTAAACAACAAATCTATAAATAATTGCGCAAAACTCAAATAAGTTGCTGGATTAAATCATCGGACGCAGCACTGTTTTTTAATCCGCAATTTAAAATAATTGACAAAAACTCTGTCTTAATTTTTCTAAATGTTTGTTTTTCGAGACTTCACTGAAACATTTCGGAACAAATGCGCGATTGATTTGAGTGATCAGTCTTATAGTAAACATTCTCTCTGTCTCTCTTTCTCCTATAGAGATGGTTGAAGCCTGTCTATGCTCTGAGCTCGCCCTCACAGGCGGATGATTGATGAGGGATGGGGGCAAGGCCGAGCACGCACAGCATAAAGACCCATACACGGCTCAATAAAGCCGGGCCTGAGCGGGGAACGGCCGCGCTCAATAGACGTTGGCGCGAGTAGATTGAGGCCAACGGCAGAGAGGAAGGTGCTCTGTTGTCCCATAATCCAGTTAGCCATTGAGCCACCAGCCGTCTGGAGCACGATAGAGAGCAGCAGCGAAGGATGGCCGAGGAGAGCAGAGGACAGAAAGGTTGGATAGCCCAGAGGGGGGTTTGGGAGAGAGGCACAGCTCGAAGCCCCTGCTGAGAAAGACAGAGCGGGAGAGTGAAAGAGAAAAATATAAAAAAGCGAGACCATTGCAGTCCCACGTCTGGAACAAACGGCAAATGTGAAAGTGGAGATGAAGCACATTTATTTGCATACAGAAGCCAAATATAGGAAAGACATTGTTTGTGTTGTTTAAATATAATTCTCACTAATAAATTGATATCACAACGATCATCTCACAATCGCATCCCAACCAAGCAATGACGTGGGAAATATTTTTCCATCCATCTCACTGAAACGTCATTCAGTTTTACGCAGACTTATTATGCTAGTCGGTAAATTTCCAATAGATGTCCAGCACAGGTTCACAAAGGAGGAGGAATATCTCAATGTGAACATGAATAGGCAGCCATCAGGATCCGTCATAAGTGCTCCATACGTGGCCTGCACACCATGCTCTCTGCTCTTCTCCACCTCATCATTTACAAACACAGCATCAGTCAAAAACACAATTAGTAGGCCCTAATCCCCTGCCAGGAGTGCCTTTCATCCAGCCAAGGCCACAGACAAGGTATCCTGCAGAACTGCCTTGTTCCTGGAGGCCAAAGAGACAGAGAGAGTGATGGGAAATGAGAGGGATGGAGCAATCATGCTGCACTCATGCTGCCTGCTGTGTTTCTCAGCAGGGTTTTCACAGCTCTCATCTTTCTCTGCTTTTTATAATTAATATTTTACAGAATTTGGTTGATGATTCTCGAGATACTTTTGAAGGATGATTAGTGTTTTTATTATTGATCGCTTTGTGGTTATATCTACTGAGACGTATGAAGGTTTACAACAGAATAGCGTGTGGATGATATTCATCACAATGTATCTCGTATCATCATTTTGCTATATGAACCACTTGTATTCTACAGCCCTCTGATTCTCACAGTGCTGAGAAACATCTGTGTTTGTTTTTCTTACATGTCTTTTGTTGAGGAAGGCCACATGACTTTTATTTATTGAATGAAATGTTTTGATTTTGGTTTCTGCATCAAATTAAAAATGAGCAAAAGTGATTTTATAGACCATCATTATCATCCTGGTAAAATTAATTATCAAAATATGGGTGAAATAATGGGTGTCCATTTTTATTCAGCATATGACATATTAATGAAAATAAGAAACAACACTGAAGTGACTTATTAAATTACAAAAAGTACTTTTTTACTAAAAAAAAAAGATTTTACTATATCAAGTTGCAGATTTTTGCTGATAAATGGGTAAAAACTAGTGATTTAAAGCATAGTACCAATGTATAAAAATCTGAAATAACAATTAATTAGTACTTTGGGGCTTCATTGTGATTAGTACATAATCTTTTAATAAGTCATGAGATGATAACTGTTCTAAATATGACTGACTTTTTTTTTTTGATGGATTGTTACAGAGAAATGACATTTTAGTGGGCTCAAATCATGATAGAAATGTATGAAAGAGCAATATGCTGCATATATATTGATAGTTTTTAATACATTGCAAATATTTTACACTCATGTTGGAGAAAATATTTTTAATAAAGGTCAATATTCCAAATTTTACCTCAAAGACTTCTTCTTTCCTCCTAATACTGTCAAAATCACAAAAGCCCTGTTGGTTAACAGGTTAAAGTGAAGCTGGTTCTGTGTGTCTCCATGTATTTGTGATTAGAGCAAGGGTGGGAAGCCATATTTGGAGCCACAGGATCTTCTTAATTTGATTTCAACTAAGGTTTTAATTGCTCAATTGAAGTCATAATTTAGCCATAGGAATCCCTTTCACCTGTTCTCCAAGATTTGATTCTGTCATGGTTAGAGTTTCTTAAACTGTTCGTCGTATTCATGGATCTGATGGGGTTGGTGTTGCTTGCAAAAACTGTTGCTATGGTACCCATCTCATGCTTGATGCAGTGTTTGTGCTTGTATACTAATCCAACATTCCTAAAGAGTTTTCAGACACTTTTAGAAATCGCATACACACAGATAAAAAAGATTAGTTTCCAACAAGCATTTTTTTTGGTTTTTAATGATGTCTAATAGATGTCTAATAGACATAGTCGTCTTGGCAAAAAAAGGCTACATTTGGGGTGTCAGTGAAAATCTAAAAACTGCCCAAAACTAGACTATTCATCAAATAAACAGAAATGAATTACTACACATATAAAGTCTGTCTTTTCTATTTGAGGCCCAGTCTAGTTTGGGGCTATTCTCAGATGTATATTAGATTTTCACTGACAGCCCATGTTTAGCCTTGTTTTAGTCAAGCTGTCTACGTTTAGATGTCTATAGACATCTATTAAACACAGAATTGTTTGCTGGGGTTATTGTGGCCAAGAAAAAAAGGTTAGAGGATGACACCATAGAGTACTCCAAAGAGTTCTAAATAAGTTCTAAACTTATTTAGACTATCTATGAAATATTTTGTTTTCTTAGTGTAAACAGGAGCAACCAATATTTTTAACCATGAAACAAAGACATGCAAAGAGTATGTTTAAATGGATGTCTTGCCTACCCCAGGTACTAATATGAACTTGTATGGATAAAGGTACTTAGATATCCCTTTGACAACTTTAACACTATACTGTAGGTAACAAGTTTTCTCTTTTTCTTTGAGTGAAGAGTTTTTGGGCTGAATTGTGAAGTACTCATGCTGAAATGCTACAGTTAGTACTCTGATATAATGTTCTACAATCTGTTTTAGTCTTTTAGAGTTTTCAGTCATTTTGGTGATAAGGACCCTAAAATATTAAATGTAAAATCAAAAAGTTTCTTGAATAACAATCCATTTTATTTCACAAAAATGCTATGCTATAAATCTATTCATTCATTTTCCCTCAGCTTAGTCTCTATTTTAAAAATTGCAACAGTGGAATGAACCACCAACTATTCCAGCATATGTTTTACAAAGCGGATGCCTTTCCAGCCCAGAACTGGGAAACATTCATACATTCACACACGCACTCATATGCTATATCCAATTTCATTTATTCATTTTTTTTTCGGCTTAGTCCCCTCATTGATCAGAGGTCGCCACAGTGGAATGAACCGACAACATATCCAGCATATGTTTTACGCAGCGGATGCCATTTCAGCCACAACCCAACACTGGGCAACACCCATGCACTCTTGCATTCAGACACATACACTACAGCTAATTTAGCTTACTCAATTCACCTATACTGCATGTCTTTGGACTGTAGGGGAAACCGGAGCACCCGGAGGACACCCACGCTAACATGGGGAGAACAAGCACATTCCACATTCCACACAGAAATGCCAACTGACCCAGCCGAGGCTCAAACCAGCGACTTTCTTGCTGTAAGGCCGATCGTGCTACCCACTGCGCCACTGTGAAGCCCTGCATCCAATTTAGTTTATTCAATTCACCAATAGCGCATGTCTTTGAACTGTGGGGGAAACCAGAGCCCGCATAGAAAACTCACACCAATACAGGGAGAACATGCAAATTCTAAACAAAAATGCCAACTGACCAAGCCAGCACTTGAACCAGCAACCTTCTTGGTGTGAGACAACAGTGAACCACTGAGCCACCATTTTTTGTTGATTTTGTTTGTTTTACATGTTATAGAATTGAACTGTATATATTCAAACATCTATTTTATTTCTTTAACATTAAATTTATTGGTATTTATTTGTTCATGTCGATCATCATTTACTCGACTTCAATTGTAACAATCCTGTTTGAGTGTCTCTTTTCTGTTAAACACAAAATAAGTTATTTTATAAAATGCTGGAAACCTGTAACCACTGACTTATTATTTATTTTTTACTACTATGAAAGCCAATAGAGGTCTTCATCATTTTTTTAAGGATCTTCTTTTGTGTTCAACAGGAAAAGAGACCTCATAAAGATATGGAACACTTAAAGACATTTTAATTTTTGGATTTGATTTTGGTATCCATTAATACAATATTTTTTTTAAATTAGTAAATAATTTTGGTTTTATACGTTTGTATGTTTTAATCCAAACAATCCTATGCTCTCTAGAACTTTCTTGTGGTCCCCTTGAGGTCTCTGGGCCCCAGTTTGCCTTTTGATCAGTTGTGTACATTCAGCTATAGTATTAAACAATATTAATTGAGAAAAGATCAGCACTACATCATCTTTTAATGTCACTCATGCACAATAACCATAACAATAATTTGCCTGTAATAGAAAAACCAACAGTTTGAAACAAATTATAAATTCAAAAATGACTAGAATTCTGATCCACCTTATATTTCATAACCTAATAAACACAGAAAGAATACACAGGCAATGGAGTGTCTTTGCCAGATATATCACTTCTGGGATATGAAACGCAAGACAGACGGGAAAGAGACAGAGAGAGAGAGAGAAAGGCCTCGGCTGCATGTGGGAGTGTCCGCAAGCAAGAGAATAATCACAATGTAATCAAATTGCCCTGTTTGATAATGGACGGCGGGAAAACGAAGAGGAATTCCAGGCAAATTTGTGCAAATAAAAAAAGATTCCTCCTGACATGATGTGCCGGTGAGAGCCAGGATATAATGAGGTGTAATTTGTCTAAGAGCTTCCCCCCCCTCGCTCGCTTCCCTCAGCCACCGTATTCTACTTAAGAATCAGAGTTCATTTCATGGACTGCCCATCATTCACTCTCTCCAAGTCTGTCTCTCTGCCAACAAGTGAGAGTCTCCTCAAAGTACGTACCACTTTTTCTGTGTGTGTGTGTGTGTGTGTGTGTTTTAAAGTGAGCCTCATCCATTTCAGGTGCATGTTGCAACAGAGAGCAATAGATGGAGTTGTCTGGTGAAGTATGAGTTGTGCTGCTGGCGGGAATGATGATACAGTCAACATGTGGGGGTATGTGTGTGTACGGCCTCCCCGACCGTATATATTTCTGCAACATAAGCAGCCTCACTCAGTCTCTCTGCCGGTGAGATGACTCTTCCTCTCCTGAGGGGAGAATTACCTACCACCAGCCAACGCTTCCCCCTTGCCATCCCTCACAGCTCCCATAAATTATTGGAGATTTTCATATTTCAGATTTCATCTACATTCATCTAGCGCAGCTGGGTGGCACTGGGCAGGGCTGATGGAGGAGAGGAGGGGGCCAACAGGGCGTCAGAGAGGAGAGCTGAACGTTTGGCAAGCTGGCGGTGGGGCCCCTGAGATGGCTCTAATTGAATTGCGAGGCCCTTGATTAGATTAGCCTTGCGGCAGCTTGCT